ATCTATCTATCTATCTATCTATCTATCTATCTATCTATCTATCTATCTATCTATCTATTTATTTTTAAAAAGATTTATTTATTTGTTCATACAGAACTGGGGTGCAGGCCAGAGGCTCAGGGGTGGTGAAAGGCTTCACCAGAGACAGAGTGGGGACCAGAACAGGCAGATCTACGAAGTACACTGCTGAGGGGAGCAGCGGGCGGGCCAGGAGAGGTCTGTGGACAATGTGGACACCTCTGGGGCGGGTGGGAATCGAACTCATGCGGAAGTGGCTTTAGCTTCTCAGTGCTGTGCTTTGACCCCCTGCGCCACCTGGGAGGGCCTATTTATTTACTTTTTAAGAATACATCCATTGTTTTTAATTTTTAATTTTTAAAAAATTTTTTGGTCTTAACACTAACAAGGAAGTGGGCAGGGGATGGTAGTAAAATGGCATTTAACTCTCCTGTTTTAAGAAGCTTGGAAACTATTTTCTTCTCTGATTTGTTCATTGAAGTTTTTTTTTTCCACTGAAAGCATATACTAAAATTGCTTTTGAATACTATTCCCTACCTAGCTTTTACCTAAATTCTGTCAGTGTTTGTTATTTCTTATCAGATAAATCCCTTGTATTTCCTTTTTACCTCTACCCTCTTTTCCAGATTAGAATAATATACTTAATAGTAGAAAATTGGAAATTAAAATGTATGAAGAAAAACAAATAAGTGCTCTTATTAACACTGTTAATATTTGGTATATCTGTCTTTCTCCTTTCTATGTGCAAATGCATGTGTATATACTTATATATACCTATTAAAATTGCAAACTTCCATTTACTTTTTAAAAAACAATAGGAAGCATTCAGACATACTGTTTTGTAACTCTTTTTTACTAATCACCATATGTAATTCAATATTATTTATTTAGTGGTGACTTTTGTGACCTATAGAATTCTACCATGTGAGTATATCCTAGGGGTCGGTATAGATTTTTTTTAAAGGAAGAAATAATAAATAAGGTAGGTTTTGTGGCCTGTATGGTTTCTGTTGCAGCTACTCAATTGTACTGGTGTAATGAGAGAGAAGTCACAGACAATTTATAAGTATTCAAATCAGACTTTATTTATAGATGTGAAGATTTGAATTTCATATAATTTTCATGAATGATGAATTTTGATTTCATTTTCTTTCAGCTATTAGATATTATAAACCATTGTTAGTTCATTGGAAATTCAAAACCAGTTGATAGAGCTGGATAGAGCTTGCATGTCATAATTTATTGACCTTGAATATGCTGTAAATGTATCCATCAAATGCATAGTTAATTAATTTCCATGATTTTGATATTAAAGCACAACATAATAATGGTCATGCTAAATTTATCTTAGTATAGATTTAGCAAGAGATTACTTAGTCAAAAAGCTTAAATATGTCCATTGTTCAATTTTGTGGGTTTTTTAAAAATAAAAATGGGTTTGAATGTTTCCTACTCTATTCTTTTTTTTTTTTGTCCACTGAGTTCCCTGTTTATATTCTTTGTCTCTTCTTGGTATATTCATTTTTGAGATTTGTAACATCTTGCAACATTAAGACAATCCTTTCTCATGTGTTTTTTCCTAGCTTATTTACTTTATGTTTTGATGTACAGACATACTTCATACTTTTATGCAAGCCTAGGTGTTACTCTACTTCCTCTTTTTTAATATAACTCATTTTTAAAAATTATTTTCACGGCCTTTCCTGGTGGTGCAGCAGGTTAAAGCACTGCACTAAGAAGCTTAAGCCACTTCCGCATGAGTTCAATCCCCGCCTTCCCCGGAGGTGACCACATGGCGTGGCAGACCTCTCCTGACCCGCCCGCTGCTCCCCTCAGCAGTGTACTTCATCGATCTGCCTGTTCTGCTCCCCACTCTATGTCTGGTGAATCCTCTCACCCTCCTCATCTCTGGCCTGTACCCCAGTTCTGTATGAATAAATAAAATCTTTAAAAAGAAATTATTTTCACAAAACTGACAACCATAATTATCTAATGCCAGAATAAACTTTTAGTAACATTTGTCCATTTGTCTTTGTGGTCTTATTTGTTTTTTTCTCTTCAAAAGATTTGTTTTGAGGAATTCTTGAGTATGAAGGACAGTAAGACCATTTTAGGTTTGAAGAAAATTAAATGGATACCACTTGCTCAAAATAACATGAATATATATATTTGGAAGTTTGTTTCAATATTGTAATTGTTTAACTTCTTCCTATGTAAAAGACAATAAAAATAAGGGCATATTTTTCTCTCATGAATAGATTAAATGTAGGAAAACTTGGAAAAGCTCTCAACCCCATCAATGGTGTTTTTAGATTTTTGGAGTGACTATTAAAGAAACCTTTAAATTGATAAAATGTGATTTATTTTGATAGCGTCTAGCCTTTTAGTGTCTTATTTGTAAAGTGTGAATTTGCCAGTGGGTTTGATTGAAAGGCACAAAGATATAACTAAGAAAATGACAAAGCTATTGAAAACTTGAGTCTTTGAGTTATTACTAAGTTAAGTTTGATCATCCAGATAAGCCAAACAACTAAAATTTGGGGGCTTATTAAGATTTTGAACAATATGGAATTTTCCTTTAAATTGAATTTATTGTCATTTGCAAATATGAGAATATATTTTAAGAAAATGACTTAGGTTAATTTTAGATTGGTTTGGCTTTTTGAGCTCTTGTGGAGTAATTTTTAATTATGAGATAGTTCTCTGCCAAGTCCATTGAGTTTTCTCCCTTTTTTGCTGTCAGTTGTCTTAGCAGTGGGTATGATGTGGTAACAGTGTTGTAAAGCAATGTTACTACCTAAGAAAACCAAAACTTTAGGATCAAGGTTTTTAAAATTTTGAAGATGTTTATCTAAGAATTAATTTGAACATGCTCATCTTTTTTTCTCTTGTTAGATGTTATCCTTTATGTATGCCCATTTGACCTTTTTTCATCAAGGATATGATCTGTTTAGTGAACTTGGGCCCTACATGAAGGATCTTGGTGCACAGGTAATGTTGTACTGTGCTTTTTTATTACTATATGTTGATAACTGTATTTTATTGTTTTTTCTAAGATACAATTGGCATAATTAATTTGATTTCAGGTGCATAGCATAAAGAAAGACTCGTTATATGTATCTATTGTGATATGACTACTATAAGTCTACTTAACATCCATCACACATATACTTACAAATTTTTCTTCTTGTGATGAGAACTTTTAAGAGATATTCTCCTAGCAGCTTTTATACATGTAGTACAGCATTTTAAAGTATATAGGTAGCATGTTGTGGGGTACATCATCATAACTTATTAATTTTTTAACTGAAATTTTGTATCTTTTGACTACCATCACCTGTTTTTTTCACCCTCTAGCCCCAATCTTTTTGTTATCTGTATCTATGAGTTTATTGAATAATAGTCCATGCTATGTATGTGTGTGTGCATGTGTGCAGTCAAATCACATTTTTTTTGTAATCCATTCATCTATCCATGTGCTTTTAAGTTTTTCCATGTCTTGGAAATCCTAGCACCCAGATGACAGGACTGCCAGTTTTCACATTTCCCCAACCCCCCACCATGTTAAAAGATATATTTTTCTTTTATAGATCTCCCCCAATAGAAAGAAGGAATAGATTGCTACCTGGTAATATTGAGATGATTCTATGTAAAGAATTATTCTCATGTAGGAAAAAAATTTGTGTAGGGTGTATAAATGACCAAATACTTTCAGATTTAAAAGCTTATTGAAACATTTGTACATAGTTTTTCTTCATATTCCTGTTGATATTTACATTTTTATTCATTTATCATACATATATTAAAAAGAGGAGATTAAAAGATGAAGCAACATACATCAGTATCTAGAGGAGCAGAACCATGTCATGAAGTTACTTTATAGTCTGGTTATTAATACAGTGAAAAGAATTTTAAGAAGCCACTGCATTTGTAATGATACTGGAAATCAGATTATTTCTTTCTGATGGAAAATTATCTTTTTGGTGGAGAAGATCAGGAAACAAATGGGATTTTTTTGTCTTCATAAATTTTTTTAGCTTTATAATATAAGAGCCTTTAGTATTGGTGATTTTATACCCTGGTCTCCCAAATGAATGCTATTCTGTTGCTTTTATTATTATTATATTATTACTGTTCCTTAACTTTCTCTTTTATTTGGTGAATTATTTTTTCTACCTCTTAGACTTAATTATGACATTCAGCATCTTGAGTCCTGTCACATTTGCTGGGCACCAAGGCTCATGGAGTTACAGACTTTTATAAAGAGAATTTGATACGAGGGTGGAAGAAAAGAACTTCCATTTTAAAATTGTAGCCAAAATACACTTAAAGTAAATTTAATTTGACTTATTGAAAATAGGATTTAAAAAGATAATCATGACCTTTTTTTCCTTTTTTATGTTTAAATCTGTACAATTTTTCCTTTACCCCCTTGATAGTTGGACCATCTGGTTGTCGATGCAGCAAAGGAGAAAAGAGAGATGGAGCAAAAACATTCTACCATTCAGCAAAAGGTACTTTAGGTGAAAAACAAAGATTAATTCTCATTTTACTCAATTGTTTATTTGTTTTAGTAAGATACATTGTGTTGCAACTAATCCTTTAAACAGTAGTATTTGAAAACATTTAAAAAATAAAAACTTAAATATGAAATAGTTTTATTTCGGTGTGTTAAAAATTTTGAATATGATGTACCTCGTACGTGCCCTAATAATATTTCATCTTATATAGTGGTATTTTTTTGTGTGTAGTCACCTGAAAATAAAAGGAATTAGAGTGTCAGTGCAGTAATTACAAGTGTATGACGAATTGATTTCCAATGTTCTTTTAAGAATACCTCCCTGGTGGGCCCTCCCTGGTGGCACAACTGCCTAGGATCCAGCACTGCAAACAAGCGGCAGCCGCTTCAGTGTGAGTTCCATCCCTGGCCCCAGAGGTGACCCACATGGTGCTGCAAACCTCTCCTGACCCATGTGCCCCTCCCCTCAGTAGTGTCTTTTGTCTACGGGCCTGTTCTGCTCCCCACTCTACCTCTGGTGAAGCCTCTCACTGCCTCTGCACCTCTGACTTGTACCCCAGTTCTGCATGAATAAATAAATACATCTTTAAAAAAAAAAGAATACTTAGTGATATCGAGCAGTCAAGTCAGCTTTTATTATGATCTATTTAGAATTGAAAGTATCAATAAACTACATGTGACATAGACTGTCATTGGGAAAAATGAAAGTGAAGTCAAAATAAGGAAAATTTTATTGGTGGTGAGTTACTAAAGAGAAGCTCATTCTCATTTGAGAATACTCAAAGAGAAACATTCTTTAAAAAGATTTTCGACTGGACCATCTTTAAATTAGGTGCATCTAGTTGTAGTTAAGTGAGAATATGTTTTGTTCAAATGTTTTATTTTGTTCAAAGTTGGAATCACTTTTGGTTGTATAACTTGTTTTAATGATGTTACTTTGAAAAAGTTATTTAACTCGGGACCAGTAACTTTTTTTAAAAAAAGATTTATTTATACATACAGAACTGGGGTACAGGACAGAGGTTCAGGGACGGTGAGGATTCACCAGAGACAAGAGTGGGGTGCGAAATAGGCAGATCAACGAAGTACACTGCTGAGGGGAGCAGCAGGCAGATCAGGTGAGGTCTGCCACACCATGTGGGATGCCCCCCTGGGCGGTGTTCGAACTTGTGAAGTGGCTACCTCTAGTTTCATAATTGCAGTGCTTTAACCTACTGTGCCACCAGGGAGGGAGTAACTTTAAATTAAAATGAGAGATCTTGGTATTTGTGGAAACATGAATATTTGCCTAAGTTGAATTACTTAATGGACATTACTATGCATCTTTTGCTATTCTTCCTTTCATATACATGGCTCGATGCTGTATCATATGTCCAAAAGTGGTAAATTATTAAATCTAAGGTTAATTTATTTTATTTAAAAATAATAATCAACTATTTTTCTTTAAAGAAGTATTGCTAACTTTGCTCATTATGAATACTTACCTTTTTTCTGCCCTTAAATGCTGACAAAAGGCTGCATTACAGGTAAACAACAACAGAAAAGAGAGCCAGTCAGTGTGGTTTTAATTTACACTTTATTTTTGTTAATTAAGTTCAGGTACCTTCCCCTGTGTCTATTGGTTATTTGGATATTCTGTTTGTGAAATGTAGTCTTCCTCCCATTTTTTTCTATCAAGTTGCTTAACTGTTGAACACATTCTTCATATATGTGGTTGTAAAACCCCCATTTGGGCTGCATGTGTTTTAAATTTTCACATAGTTTCCTAGTAAATCTTTTATGTTTGATACTTTTTGTGTCTTGATTAATAAGTACTTCCTATCCCAAGATCATGATGCTTTATCTCCTGTGTAGTCTCCTAAGAGTTAACAAATTTGCCTTTTATGAGTAAGTAACTTACCTGTAATTTGATTTTGTGTGGCAGGAGGTAGAGATCCAAATACATTTTATTCCAATACTGGTAGCTGGTTGATCCAAAATCAGTTATTAAAAAGTTTCTTTTAGTACTACTTTCCATATGTGAGGTTTCCATACATGTGAAGTTTCGTTGAAGCTCTCTATTCTATTTCATTGGTGTTTTTGTCTGAATTGTACCTTTTTTGCTATTTTAATTATTTTAGCTTTATAACATTTTGTGATATCCAACAAAGCAGATCTCCTACCTTCTCTTTTTCAAAAGTGAATTGGCTATTTTTTCATTTTCATCTGTTTTAGGATTTTTTTTCCAGGTTCTGTAAAAATAGCTTTTAGGATTTTGATTGATTGCATTAGATCTGTGAATCAACTTGGGGAAGAATTGATACCTGTATTTTACAGTGTCCATGAACTTGAAATACTTTTCTGTTCTTTTAAATTTTCTTTAGTGTCTTGTACTCTTTTGTTAGACTTATTCCTAGATACTTGTATCACAAATGTTGCTATAAATCTTATCTTTTAGAAACTTCTTTTCTCACTGTTTACTTTTGTTATAAAAATAGATTTTTTCCCATATTGACTATGAATAATCATATTCACCTCTCTTTAATTCTAACTTATTTCTTCATTCTTTTGGATATTCTGTGTACCAAATCATGTCTTCAATAATGTTTACTTCTTCCTTTTAATCCTTTCCTATTTGTTAGTAATCTTGCTGCTTAGGACTTCCAGTGTAATCTGGAAATGAAGGTCTGTGTATCTTGCTGCAGTTTCAAAAGGGAAAGCTGCTTTTAGACTTCTTTCTGGGCCAACCTGGATTTTGCCTTCTAATATCTGGGCCTCAGACCAAAGCTTCAGGTTCTCCTGATTTAGGCAAAAGCCCTTATGGTGAAACCTGGCTTCTTTACTCTGTTTACCTCTTTGGGGCTACCATTTTCTAGTTAATCTTTTGCCTTTGGGTATTCCTTTCAATTTTTTTCACGTCATTAATGTATTTTAATTCTACTATTTTATGTAACTATCCAACACTAGTATTTGCTTTAATTATAAATCTATGTAATATAGCACTTCTAAATGCTATAAAATATAGATTTTAATGGCAATTAAATTGAAGACAATTCACCTCAAGAAATATAGTTGAAAATTAGAAAAATACTTAAAATATACTGTACTCTCAAGGAAATCTTATGTTTTAGCTAGCATAGGGTTTTTTAAAAACTGTTGGTGTTTCAAATTGAACCTTTACAGTGTTTTCAAATTCAAAATATACCTATTGCTGTCATTACCCTACCTGTGTAATGGAGTCTCAAATTAAAGTTTTCCTGACATTTTTAACAAAGAAAAAAATAGGAAGACATGTAATAATTCATTTAATGATTTTATTTCCTCTGTTTTGGATTACCATCTTTCTATGGTTAAATTTTGAAAGATGTCAGGAGAGTTACAAATTTTGAATTTCATCTATTTTTCTCTTCTAGTCTTTGTAGACTCTTAGATTTGAAAAACCCTTAAGTGATGCTGACTCTGTTTCCCTTCCAGTTGCAGGAACTCCACATCCCAATAGTCTTGATGGGTAGTAGTCATCCAACTTTTCTCAAGATAGAAAATTTACTGCTTCCTAATTTGAACAGCAATGATAATTTTGATCACTGGTCCAGAAAGTAATTTTGAAAGTTTTGAGACTGATTTTTAAATTTGGGGATAGTAGCAGCTTACATTTTGTTTAAATTACTTTGGAAGTTCATCAGGAAATATTTTAAATATAGGATATTGGATTTCAAATATTCACAAATCCTGGAAGGAACACTGAAAGTTTGAAGTGCATTTGAGTGAAGGCTATAGCAATTAGGATAGAAAAAGGTGATGAATAATTTCATAGTCCTCTCTAAAGTGAGCTTAGCATGCCCACTTGAAACTATGGTTTTCCTTTGCAAAACTAAATATTTTCAGGAAAAAAAAGACTCCTTACTTGCTCATCTTCCATATAGTAATTATTTTTGACAGATTAAAACACTTCCATAATAACAATATATTTAGAAAAGAGTGGTACATTTAAATACTCTCAAATATGTCCACATTCCTTTAAAAAAATTGCTAGTATATGTATTGCCATAAAATATTGGGATAAAATGAAAATATTTTAAATGTAATCCCCTGTATAATATAGTTCTTCCCTTTGTCTATATGTATACTTATTATTTTGAGTTTTTAATCAGAGTGTATTTATATTGTTTTCTCTTTTAATATATATTCTATATACTAATCTATGTTTTTATATACCATCATCTTCATGACCATCACCACTGTTATTACTGTGTAATATTCCACTATTGATGTGTTGGAACATTCTTTTTATTATCGATCATTTAGGACTTCCCTTTTCTGAAGTTTGTTGATATAACTATCTTTAAAGCTTTTCTACAATTTGAGCTATTTTTATAGGATAAACTTGTTTGGAGAACATCATCAAATCATATGAGCTTTTTTTAATTTGTTGTTTTGCCTAGGATTTCTCCAGTGATGATTCTAAGTTAGAATATAATGTAGATACTACAAATGGCATTGTTATGGAAGGATATCTGTTCAAACGAGCCAGCAATGCCTTCAAAACTTGGAACAGGTAATATATTTCAAATACTAGTCTTGATTTTTCCATACTCTCAGTTTTCTGACTTTCCCTATGATTTAGCAATTCTTTCCTTCATAATTCTATTAAGTCACAGTTCAAAGTAACTTTCCTGAACTCAGTCCTGAAAATTATTAAAGATAAAATTTCCTTCTGGGAAGGTGGGGGAAGCCTAAGGAAAATGTAAAAATGACAATGCTAATTCTAAATTCTAAAATTTAAGCAAAGTTTAGGTAAGGGAAATTTTTATAATACCTGTTCTTTAATGACTAGGTCATTACTACAGGTAAATTTTGAATGTGACCCTACTTCCATATTTGTTATGAAATAGATGAGGTTGCAAAGTACTTCATTAAATATTTAGTGGCTGGGTAAGACAAATGAACTTTTTTTTTTGTTTAAATTCCTCTTCTTGTGATGTTTATTTACTGTTTTTACATGTGAGTCTTTGAGCTAGATGATCCTGTTCTTTGCAATAACTTTAACTAGAAATGGGATTTCTGGAAATGGGATTGTTTTTGTATGTCAAGTATATGTGACAGCTGGCACATCTTTTTCTAAACTTGATGGTTTTTGTTTTTTGCTCAACTTCTTTTTATAAAATATAAAACTAGCAAATGTCTATTAAATGAGTGAATATGTAATTTTTTGGGTATTTTCTCATGTAGCGATATAATAAAGTGAAATAATTTCAGAGATGTAGGTATTAAAATATTGTTGTGCCATGATTATTTTTGAACAATAGTGATTAACCTTTATTCAAAGATACCTCTCTAAGCATAAAAAGAAATTTTATACTAAATTAGAGTAGTTCTAGGTTGTGGCTAATTGATTTACTATTTCTATTATTGGTTGAGTGTATATTTTATTTACTGCTTGAACAGGATATGAATTCACTTAATGATAGAGAAGATTGTTTTCTTTTTAAAACATGGACATTAACAAAATAGAGTTTTCTTGGTAAGTTTAGTTTAGTATACATTTTCATTAATTTGAATGGAAGCAGTTATGCTTGGATTTGAGCAGTTATGTTCAAATCAGTTTATCGAATTGTTTCAGTGTACTTGCTTTGGTTTCTTGTTTTGAAGTTTTATAGAAAAAAATTCATTGATATTTTCAAATGTTGTGATATGAGCTTTTCTTAGCATTTGATATATTGCTGGTATTAAAATGGTATATAGTGTTTTTTATTTGAAGTGATTTTTTCATACCTGGGAATGAATATAAATTGGAAATAATAATGTTTGAATTTGATATTGAACCTCTTTGTGTTATATAGAACTTTAAAAACATTTATGAGTATAGGAAGACCAGCTAAGGTGGCCTGGTTAGAAATAGTTTTGATTATTGTAAAGTGAAAATGAAAATTATATTTCTAAACTGTAAAAGTTAGGATAACAGTCTTTTAAGTTTTCCTGGCAATTTCCTAGTCAGAGTAGGAAGTTGAAATAAAAAAATAATGATAGATTCTCATATTTTTATAATAAATAAAGGTTTTTTTTTAGCCAGTATGGTTTCATGAGGTAATGTTAGAATTGAATTTTAACCTTCAGATTTCAAAACAACCTACTTAAAGTTTAACACAGTGAAATACAATAAATCCATAGAAACTATACCATTATGTTAAGAAGAAATGAAATGAACTTCCATGGACTTCTTCATTAAGAAATGCTCTCAGACTTCAAAATGAAGCACAGTAAGTGTTAGTGGAAAATTGTGTTGCCATTTAGAGCAGTAGACGAAAGTTATGATTTAAGCATAAGCCTTTTCATTATTCACTATTTGCTTTATGAATTTGACTAATTGGCATAGATATTAAAATGAATCTAAAATCAAGTAGGGGATAATTGTTAAATTCTCAGCTGTAAACTTATTACCTGCCATTTGCGAAGTGAAAAAGCAGTATCTTAAGAAATGAGATTGCTTAGTAAAGGAGGAGTCAACTGTATGTAGAGAGATGATAATTATTGATTAGAATTATGGACTCTAGTTCAATGCCTTAATTTTTAGTAAAGCAATGTATATATACAGACTACATAACTAACTGGTCTGTGACAAAATTGAGGCACAAAACATTGTTTTTTTACAGATTGCTTTGGAAATTTCAAGAAATCTTGCTTGATAAAATATAACTTTAGTTATTAAAAATTAGTTTTAAAATGATTTAAAAATGTTTAGAGGCTGATACAATAAAAACTTGCTATGAAGAATGATAGCTAGCTAATTTATTTCATTTGATATGCCTTTAAATAACATTTTAATGGAAATATCAGTAGAAAATAGACTTGCAAAGAATCTAGCATATAAACTTTCTATAAAACTTCACAATTAAAAACAAAAGTCAATACATAATTTCTTTTAGGTTTTAGATCAGTAACTGAAAGGAAGACGAAAGAGTAAATCTAAATGCAACTTGTAATTTTTTGCTCCTTTCAATACAATTTGTATCTATATTTGAATATATATTACTTATGTGAATTTTATAAAAAATTAACTTAGGAAATGTCAGTGAATAATTTTCTTTTACCTATTTATGATTTTAGAGTCTGCCCTACTTCTGTAATTAGTTCTCTATCCAGTTTGATTTTATATAGTCTAGCCTCTGAATAAAGTATTTAAAAATCTAGGGATTCACCATTCAGGCATAATGTTTTTTCTGCTTATTGTTTACACACACACACACACACACACACACTCTCTCTCTCTCTCTCTCTCTCTTCTCTCTCTCTCTCTCTCTCTCTCTCTTTCTCTTTCTTATTTAGATTGTGGATTAGGTTTAATTGATTTTCCCCTTGTCACAATAAAGTACCAATCATAAGATGACAAATTTGCCTTTACCTATAGTTTGGGTAACGGCATGTTATATTTTTCAAAATTAGCCTTTTAAAAAGACCTCCTTCCTGAAAAATGTGAGTATGACTAAGGACAGCCTGATGTTCTTCGTAAAATCTAAGTGCATCTTGAAACTATTATTTTATAACTTGAAATTTAACTGAAGGGATAATGTTTTATGTGATGTAATTAAATAACATAAGGTGTGAAAAGTTATGTGTCCTAGGTGGATTGTTGAGCTTGTTACTGATTGATTTCAGTTTTCTAGTTTGTGTGTGTCCCATGAGCTATTTATGTCTATAATACATATTTTTCTGAAGACAGTGAGATTTGCCAAGATAGTATTTCCCTATTAGGTCATTTTCTCATGCTGGCAATTTCACTTCAGGTTCAAACAAGTTAGTTGGAATAATAGTAACTATGTATTTCTCTCTCTTTTTTTTCATGGTAAATTCACAAAAGATGAATGAACAAGTAAATATTAGCATAGACTGTGTTGCTCATTCACCATTGAACTAGAAAATATTAAGCGCAAGATGTGTTATCCATTTTCTTAAAGCAAAGTTTTCTATGTGCTGTTGTACAAATACTAAGTTTTTTCTTTTATGGCCTCTTTTAAAAAATGAGAAATGTATAGATAAACTTTAGTTACTGTGACCTTAGGGTTTCTGTTATCATTTGATGAAAAGGGTGCAAGCAAGTAGAAGGAATGCTTGTTGACTGAAAATATTTTATTATCTTTGAAATTTTTAATTTGTAAGCCACTTTATGATAAAAAGTTTTCATTTGTTTCAAGTTTATATAGATATATCTACAGTGATTATTTCCCTTATTTTTTTTAAGACCAGCTTATTAAATTAAGGAAATGTACTGTTTATATTTTATAGTGATGGCTGTAGAGACAAAATAGTAGTAGAGGAATGCCCTGGTATGCAAAGTATTACCAGAACTTTCTATACTATAATATTCAAAAAAAAGCTTCGCATATTTCTGAAATATTAGTGTTTCAAATTTCTGAGTTGGAATAAATTGTACAGATGCACATATGTCTAATGTGAACAAAATGCAGCAGTTATTTTTTATTATTAGGTTATGAGCTGAAGCTTGTTCCTTTAATTCTTGCTTTATTTTTATATCATGCTAGTCCTTTGCTTATTTTGCACATTTGCATTTTCATTCTTTACTACCTTTCCCTTTTGTTTTAATCCTGCCCCATTTTTTCACATGACAGGAAAAAGCCCGATCATATCAGGTACCAAATGGCTTCCTTCCCCTCACCCCTACCTTACACCAGTTTCCTCTTTGGCACGAGAAAGCTCATAATTAACCTGCTTTTCAGCTGGATTACTTGCAATGGATGTAAAGTCTCAAATGTTATAAATTGGGAGGAAAATATAAATAGAATTATACCTTTTCATTGTTTATCTCAATTTGTTTTAATCTGGAAAAGAACATTTGATGTTTATAATTACCCAAAGAATATTTATAATTTTTAAGGGAAGTTAGTAAGTGCTTTTTAAAAATTATAAGTAATATCCAAGAATAAGGCCTTTTGATAGTAACCAAATTAATTGTGTGTTGAAAGGAAACATCAATTCTTAGATTTGTTTTTTGTTTGTTTCACCAATTTGCTTTTTTCTTGTGAAAAATTGAATTTGAAACAAGGAATACACTATACAGGATTTTATTTTTTTTAATGTTCACTTGGCATCTATATGGCTGTGTGTACAAGCCCATCACCATTATCCTTTGGTGGTGGAACCTCTATAGAATTAGAAGTTTCACTTCACCTATATTTTTTATTTTAAATGCAGTTCTGGGACGAAGCGATCAAACATGCTAGAAGATAATTGATGTATTATTTTATGTCTCTCCACACCCCCTTGCCATTTTGTTATCTGGAATATTAATATATATATATAAATATTGCATATAAATATATATTAAGATTGTGTATAAATATATTAATATTGTATATAAATATTAATATTTATTTATTTAATGTTTTGGTCTAAAACCTTTATTGCGTTAATTCAATTTGAGTTGGAGATAAACTGGTTTCTCATTTTTCTTAATGAATTAAGAAATTTTTCTTTTTGAAAACCTTTCGTATTTTGGCTTTGTAGTCAGTCTTTGAATCTTACAGAATATAGTATAGTTGTCAGCACAATATTTTCCAAAACTTTTCCTTTTGATTTAAATATCCCTCTTAAGTACCTTAAAGTGCAGATAACTTGAACTTTAAATATTGAGTATTTTCAAATATTCAGTAGGCTAGAAGTTGTCTCGTTTTTCCTTGTATTATACGTCATAATAGCTGTGACTGTTCTATAGGTGCAATTAAGAATATATTCTACTTTACTACTTGACTAAAGTCTTGATCAGTATAGACAAAGATAGTTAGCTCCTTTTTTTATATATTAGGGCAGAGAAGGAGAGTGTTACAAGCCATAAAAGATCTTAGTTATTGAAATTAACTTTCTATCTCAGATATACACTATGCGAATTTTTGCCTTAGAAGATGTGAACAAAATAAAATGTAGCTTTTTTTTTCCCCCTGAGAGTACAAGAATTGATGATATGAGAGAGTTACAGAAGCAGATAGGCGGCAGGGAAACTGGATTTCAGAAATACTGATATATGTCATCTATAGAGTTAATAATGAAAGATAATAAGTAGTCTAGCAAAAGAAAAAATCTGTAGTATTTTGGTACTATTTTTAGAGTTCTGTATCCTAATACGTGGTAGGTCAAAAACAATTTATTTTTTGAAAACCTCAAAAGCATGAAAAGTTTACATGGCTATATGGGTGGGTGTTTTCCATAGTATACAAATCCTTGTAGTTTTTTTTTATTTTAAATCAAATTATATAATATGATTTCTACACTACAAAACATAAGAATTTTCATTAATATAGTTAGTTCACTCTGTTCCAAAATACTTTAATTGGTGTCAGAGATTGTTTCCATTGCATGTCATCCCATGTGGCAGGGCTGTACCATTTTGTTCATAGGTATTTCCTTTAACATTTCTAACTACCCATGTGTCCCAAAGCAGAGAGACTCAGATGTTCTTCCTTTTCTAGCCTCCCTCTTGATTATGTGCATTTAAATGCAATTCACTTGGTTTTATCTAGATGCTTATTTAACAAAGCTCTATTTTAATGGTAAAGGTAATACCTTTTTAAGTAGCAGGAGAATCTAACAATCTGTCTAGTTTTAAATAGAAAAGCATTTCTGATCATTTTCTCAACTTTGGAGAAATAATTTTTAAAAATAGAAATTCTGAGTATGTGTAAATAAAATTTATTTTGTATTAGTATCAGTGAAAAGGTAGAATCTCTATCTGCTAATAGATTAATAACTAATGTTTACGAAAGAAATCATCTCACATGAAACTAATTTTAAAATAATACTCAAATATTGTTTTACCTTTCATGCTTGATGAGAATTTTTGCTTTCTTTTATGAATGGCTTTGGCTGTGATTTTTTTTTTAATCTTTAGGTTCTTTTACTCTTTTAAAAATTAGAATTAAGTATGCCATATGTAGTTTAACTTTTTCTTCTAAAGAAGAATGCAAGTAGATTGGTTGCCTAATAATTTGTAATAATGAGCTGAACAATGTAAGTAGTTAGGTGAATCATTTTTATTAATAACTTTGATTACTCTGCTTGGAATACTTTATATAATGAAAGGTCAAGTCAATTGGCAATATCTCCTGTTGGATATCAGTTCTTAAATGTTGATTAGTTTTTGTTTTGCTTAATCAAATGCTTGCTGAATTATCTGCTTGCTGAATTAACTGCAGAAAGGTTGAAAACCAGCACCATTTATTTCAATGTTTTATTGTATACAATGGTCAGTCTTAAAGCAGTTGTTTTGGGGGAAAGATTTTAGTTATGAAGCACCTCAAAAAGCCATGAATTTATACTAAAAATTATTGGGTGATAGCATAAACAACAGCAGCTTTTATTAGGATATACATTTCTGTCAAATCAAAATATAGTAAATTTCATAATCTGTGGTTAAAATTGCTTATTCTTTACTTTCAGTAGTTACCTTATTGACATCAGTTTATATAAAGCAAAACAGTGCACTCTCAAAAAATGTAATTGCCATGGCTGATATTTTCTAGTGCTTTCCAAATATTTCTAACAACTGAAATTATATTTGTGAAAATTTAATCTATTTTTTATTTATTTAGACGCTGGTTTTCAATACAGAACAATCAGTTGGTTTACCAGAAAAAGTTTAAGGTAGGTGCTAAGTAATTCAGTGAAATTCCAGTGATTCCCCCAGTTTTACTTTATCTGTTCATCTTGGTAAAGAATTGAAGTTCATAAGTAATAATGTTTGCAAAATGAGTGTTTACTAGTTCTGTTTATACATACTAAGACTCCAGTGGAAAGTATTAATATTTATTCCTTAAAAGCAGTCATTTTGAATCCTAACTCTTTCTTAATCCTTAGCTGTGAGATGAAATTTTGTGTATGTGTGTGTGCCAGGATTATTACTTTATTTCTTTATGTATCTTTGTATAGCTGTGTACAGGAATAGCACTACCATACCATAATACTATTTTGAGTCTGAAAAACAGGATGCCTTTTAAAGAAATACTACCTTAGGGCCAAATGACATAGAGAGTAGGAATATTGAAAGATGTGGCCCTCCCTGGTGACTCAGTGGGTTAAAGCTCAGCTACAAAACTAGCTCCAGCACTGCTTTAGCACCAGTTCAGTTCTGGCTAGGGCGTTGGCACAGCAGACCTCTCCTGTCTCATCCTTCTACTGCTTCCCCTCAGCAGTATACCTCATCAGTTTGCCTGTTCTGTTCCCTGTTCTGTCTCTGGTGAATCCTCCCACGGCCCTGAACCTCTGGCCTGTACCCTAGTTCTGTATGTATAAATAAATAAATCTTTTTTTTTAAAAGAATATGGAAAGATGATACCATCAAAATATAAGTTTGAAGATATTTAAATAGAAACCTCTCAATTTGTTGTTCATAGTGTATATATATATATATATATATATATATATATATACTTTTTTTGGACCATATTTTAAGGCAAGGGACTTTTTTCTTTTTTTGAAGATTTATTTATTTATGCACACAGATTAATTTATTTATGCAGGCCAGAAGTGCAGGAGAGATGAGAAGATTCACCAGCGACAGAATAGGGAGCAGAACAGGCAAATTGACAAAGTACATGGGGAGCAGCGGGCAAGACAGGAAAGGTCTGCTGTACCATATGGGTCAGCTCCCTGGCTGTGGCTAGCTTCTTAAGTGCTGCGCTTTAACCCATTGTGCCACCAGGGAAGGCCCGGGGAGGAACTTTTATTCATTGAAAGAAATACTGAGATTACACAGAACATTAGTATGTTAAAATGATTAGAAGGGAAAGGAACATTAGTTTGCTGACTGTTTTTACTTAGCAGATTGTTTCAATACAAATCCTTTATTCTGACTATAATTAGTCTATTTCTTCTCTGATAAATTTGCTTTTGAGTTTATATATTAACTACTAGAAAATGTTGACAACCTTTCTTATTTTCTTAGATATTTTAAGAAATATGTATAGGGTTTTGTTGTTGTTGTTGTTGTTATATATTTAAACTTCATTAGATCCTTTTGTGGGAGAAAATAATAGCTTTTATCATGTGAGATAGGATCAGGAGAGTACTGAATAGAGAAGAAAGTTAACAGGAAGTTAATATTTATTGAGCACCTACAAGTTAATTAACACATTTTAAATTAAGCTCCTTATAATCTACTTTGTTTAATCATCTGATAGTAATTTTATGAGCCAGCTAAAATTACCAGCAGGTCAAAATTAGGTTTAATGTATCTAAGTTTATATCCTATATCTCAAATATATACTTTGAAATCTTTAAAATTAGGCAATTTTTTTCAGTTAACATTTGGAAGTATGGTATTATTGATAGTGTGCTAAAAATCTGTGTTGATAAATATAGGAGTTTTGTTTTGCATTGTAGGATAACCCCACTGTGGTAGTAGAAGATCTAAGGCTCTGCACAGTGAAACATTGTGAAGACATAGAAAGACGGTTCTGCTTTGAGGTGGTCTCTCCAACAAAGTGAGTGGCTCTAAAGAATTTGAGAGTCCATGTATGTTTGTATAGTTTGTCTCAACTTTTCAGAGTAGAGCAAGATTTGTGTTTCATTTGTGATTACTTGTACTTCAGAGGGATAAAGTGCTTTAAAGGTAAAAGTCAGTAGCTTGGTATACACGTATTATGGTTAGATATTTATGTAACTATTCAGTTATGTTTATAAAATAGAAACTGTCTTGATCAACTGAAGTCATATATATCAGGTATTATTATTTTTTTGCTAATATGATGTCTGAAAAAAAGCAATATTTTTTTTTATCTTTTAGAAGTTGTATGCTTCAGGCAGACTCTGAAAAGCTGCGCCAGGCATGGATTAAGGCCGTTCAGACCAGTATTGCTACTGCTTATAGAGAGAAGGGTGATGAATCAGAGGTTAGCTAACAATACTGTAATGCCAAATGACATATTACTGAGAGTTTTTAATATTAGTTGCAAAATTGTACTATTATAATTTTTTCCATGGAGGATGAGTTAAATGTTGTTAAAAGGGGTTTTATTTTTAAAATCTAGATTTGATTTTTTGTATGTTTCTTTAATTTGGTATGTGCCCCAGATTGACATATACATTCTGATGTGTTTTCCCCCATCCCCCAATTTTTTAATAAAGTATAAAAAGCCTGAAAGGGTATTAAAAGTAAAACTGTTAAAAAAAAATGGGAAAACACAGTTTGTCTCAGTAGAGATCTCCCTGGAGAAGACAGATTTAATAAGGAGTTTTGGCTCGTAATCTGACTTTAGCTTCCCAATCAGTTTATAAACTCTTTGGAGCAAGGTAGTAAGTCTTGAGATATAGAGCTCACCATTCCTCTAGGAGCTTCCTGAAAAAGAGGTTATTTGTGAGTCTACTCTAAAAATGTCTTCATCATCATATTTTTTGATAATTTAGTTAGGTATGGCATTTTTAGGTTGGAAATAATTAGTTGGAAATGATTAGTTCTCAAGGGTTATGTACGTTTATTTTATCTAATATATATAATACTCAAAGTTTATGTGTTTCTCCCCATGAGACTAAGTGCAAACTGATGGAGGAACTTAGATCTTTCCATTCTTGAACTCTGATGCCTAAAACAGTGCCTAACCTAGTCCTGTAAAAGACCTTTAATTTATTTTTTAGAAGTTTTCGTTTGGAGCATGTAGTGTGTAAAAGTATTTTATACATGTGCACACACACATACATACAAATACACACATGTGCTTGTGTGTGTATATATATGTGTGTATGTATGTATGTATATATATTTAACAAATAATTCTTAATTCTTTTAGAAGCTGGATAGGAAATCATCACCATCCACAGGAAGCCTGGATTCTGGAAATGAGTCAAAAGATAAATTATTGAAAGGGGAAAGTGCCCTGCAGCGAGTCCAGTGTATCCCTGGCAATGCCAGCTGTTGTGACTGTGGTCTGGCAGACCCACGGTGGGCCAGCATCAACCTGGGCATCACCCTGTGTATTGAATGCTCTGGGATTCACCGGTAGGTTGGCCTATGCAGGGGGATGGGCACACCATGTGAAGTGCCATGTTCCTTTGGGTGGAGAACCTTTTTTCCATTTGTCCAATTTCTAGTTAATATCTTTTTGCTTTTATAAAATAGATAAACTTCTAGTTTGTAGAACATTTTCAAGGATGTTGTTTCACCATTCATTACTAACTGGAGATCTGTCTATTTATAATGCTTTGAGGACTACATTAGAGACTATATCACGTAAAAATAAAAATCTTTTCATAAATATGTAAATTGAGATGTGCTAGATTATTAATGCTCTTTCCTGATTCCCTTTAGGAGTCTTGGAGTTCACTTTTCAAAAGTTCGATCTTTAACTTTAGACACTTGGGAGCCTGAACTTTTAAAGGTAAGGTAAACATTTGCTTAAAAATATCTCATTTTCACAAAAATGTCAAGATTTTATGTCCTTTGTTTACAAATATATATGTTGCTTGCTGCAGACAATGAACTAAATTGTATTGGGATATATTTGAGACTATCCAGTGTTTTAAAATTAAGTCTGTGTAGCACTAGTAACCTTTTAAGAAAACTGCATTCCTATGTTTCTAAAAAAAAATTTTAGATTTTGTATCTTAATATTAATGTTTAATAGTTACATAGATTTTTGTTATTAAAAGTGTATGGATATATTGTAATAAGTTCCATAATGGACTGTAATCACATATTGTTAGCATTGGGATATTTTAACATGGGATCATTTGCAGACTGAATTTTGTTAAGATAGTAGTTATCAAACTATTATTACTTTTTCCCATGTAAGGATTACTATCTATATCACAGTTGGGTTTCTGATCAAATTTAAAAATTTCATAGCTCTGAATAGTATTCTTCTAATTACTCATTGTTTATTTTTCCATATTGTAAAATTGCTGGTATATTCAGCATTTATTTCTGTCTAAAAATTGTGTTCTTTATGGGCATGTATTTTAATATTAATCCATAGGTAAAATGGTAATCTAGTTATGTAAAATAAAAAAAAATTGTGTGATTATTGTGAAACATCTGTTTTAAAAAATGACCAAAACTTTTAAGCAAAGTATTTTGAACTACTTACATTATCAAGATTAAGGAGAAAGTAGTTTGCTTTGATTTTGAATTACCGGAAGCTTTAACTGTCTGACCTTAAGACTCTATGCTTTAATGTACCAGACATTATGAATAATGTGCAGCTTTATACCAGCTTTAATAGAGGAGCAGAAACTAGTAAAGCAGATGGGTGGGGAGAAACACTTTTTTATAGGAGCGGTAATCTGTGGGAGATTTTCTGGTGAAGAATGGCAAAATAGTGATATTGCTCTTACTCCTTGTCTTACTTTGTTTAATCCTTAAACTTGTTTGTGGAGTAAGCAATTACAGGATATGCAGAGGAATAATTACATCAGCCGTGTTTGATTTATGAATTTTTTTTTAAGATTTATTTATTTATTCATACAGAACTGGGGTACAGGCCAGAGGCTGAGGGGTGGTGAGAGGCTTCACCAGAGATAGAGTGGGAAACAGAACAGGCAGATCAACGAAGTACACTGCTGAGGGGAGCAGCGGGCGGGTCAGGAGAGGTCTGCCACGCCATGTGGTAACCTCTGGGGCAGGCGGGGATCGAACTCATGCTGAAGCGGCTTTAGATTCTCAGTGCTATGCTTTAACCCGCTGCGCCACCAGGGAAGGCCAGATTTATGAATTTTTATAAAAGAATTTTTTAGAATTTAATAGCCTAATACAACTGTATTTGCCATTTTCTATTTTCCTATTTTATAGCTTATGTGTGAGTTGGGGAATGATGTTATAAATAGAGTTTATGAAGCTAAAGTGGAAAAAATGGGGATAAAGAAACCACAACCAGGACAAAGGTATTTATTATTTCAGTTATCTTAATAGGTTACCTTTTTCCAGCTGCAAATCAGGAATAATAATAATGTATGATTTTTTTTTTTCACTGTGACTGAGATGTAATATTGGAACAGACTGTTTAGAAGAGATAATTACTGTTTCTGTTAAGAAGTGACTTTCTTTTACTTGGCTATGTTAATTAGATAATTACATTTAACTGAACAGATAATCAGGTAGTTTCCAGATGACAGATTCTTAAAATTAAGGCTCTTTACGTAGGAATGGGACAGCTCTTAGCAATTAAAATCAGACCAAAGTTCTATTAGTGGCAGTTCTTTAAAAAAGAGATAATCTGTTCATTAATGTCTCAAAGGTCAAGTGTCTGCTATCTGCAATGAATGATTTTTCATTGTTTGATTTAGTTCAAATATTTGGTAATTATGTACATGGCATTATGATGTTGAATTAATTGTGAAAAAGATAGTTTCTGATAGTGGGTAAGTGCTTAATTGCTGTGTTTGAAACTATACTTCAGTGTTTTGGAGGTTCGTTGAATGAGATGACTCAGACTGCCTTCCAGGTACATAATTTGTTTTGTTATTGATATTTTAGTTTGGATATTTTTTCTTCTTAGCATTACAATTGTATTTGCCATAATCTCATTTTAGGATTAGATGTTTGACCACATCTACACACATACACACACACACAATATTTTTTAAAGTATATTACTCTCTAAAAGTCATTTAAACCTTCTTATTAATTTGCTAACATGTAGTTGGTTTGAATTATTTTAGACCTTGAAAAATATCTTTCCATTTTAGTGAAAGACCTGAGCATTTAAAAAAATATTTATTTTATTTATTTATGCATATAAGCGCTGGAGTGTAGGCCAGAGGTGTGGGGGAAGGGTGAGAAGACTAACCAGAGACAGAGTGGGAAGCAAAACAGGCAGATCTACTGAAATATACTGCTGAGGGGAGCAGTAGGTGAGACTGGAGAGGTCTGCTGCACCATGTGAGTCAGCTCATTGGTCTGGGATCAAACTCTTGCTGAAGTGGCTACCCATATCTTAGTGCTGATTTAACCCCTTGCACCACCAGTGAGGCCCAAAGATCTGAGCATTTTTAAAGGTTATAAGTAAGGAATGGCATAAATAGATTGAGCATTTTATGATGGTGCCATAAATCAGATGTGTAAAATATGACTCTCTCAGGTTAGAATGCTGTGTTGTTTTCAAGTGTTTTTTTTTAATAATGTTAAGTATTGATAGTTCAGTATGTGACTTAATTTATTACATTTATGTTTAATTTAAAAATTAGTTTCTATATGTTTTTGTAGTGCTCTTGGTTTCAAGGGAACATTTATAGAAAATGAATGGGCATAGAAATTAAGAGAAAAAGTGTACCATGTTAATACTTGAGATTTTTCAGTTAATTAGTTGTATTTTGTTTGAAGGAAAGTATTTTGTATAATGTCCCAAATTCAGTTTTAACTTTTATTTTATTTTGTGACTTTAATTGTAGATATTCACTACATCGCTTCTTTACACTATTAGTCATGCTAAGAGATTAAGTATAACATGGCATTTTTATGTATACCAGACAGGAGAAAGAGGCATATATCAGAGCAAAATATGTGGAGAGAAAATTTGTGGATAAATATTCTATGTTATCATCAACACCTGAGCAGGAAAAAAAGATTGTCTCTAAAAGTTGTGAAGAAAAGAGGCTGAGCATTTCTAAACTTGGGCCAAGTGACCAAGTCAGAGCATCTTCTCTAAGTTCAGGTATCACAACTTGTGTATACAAACATTTTCTTAAGTTGAAGTTACTTTGTAATTGTAGATGATAGGTTTTTTTAGTGCTATAAACTGTTTCCTCCTGCATATTTTAAGGAAAATTGAATTTCTATATATTTAACTTTAAATAGTGTCTTGGTAACTCACATGTCTAGGTAATGTGTATATTCTAAGGAATAAAAATGCTTAAAATGCAGGGGGAGTTGGGAATTATAAATCAATCATGCCCTAAAATATCTGATTATCCACCTAATATCCTTCCTATTTTTTTCCTCCTAAATTTTCCCAGTAATGTTTTTCCTGCCCTTTTCCCTTCTTACGGCCTGCTTTGTGCTTTGCTAACTTGCATGTCCCCAGTGGTTGCTGTAAATAGCGACGAGGCCAGGCGGGAGTCTCTGTTCTGTCCTGATGAGCTAGATTCACTCTTCTCCTACTTTGATACTTCTTCAAAACTACGTAGTAGTAAGTACTACTCTTGTGGAGCATTCCAAGTCTGTGCCAGTGGTCATTGTGCGTGTGGCCATTTCTCTAGATGTAACCCATTGTCTCAGAATTACACATTACTTACAGTCATACAATAAAGTAAGCTCTTTACCACTCCTGACTTAGTATGGGGTAATGAGATGCATTACACATCTGAAAATAAGTTTATTTTCAGATTTTGTGATTCACATTTTGATAAGCTGAGTGTTCAAATGGATTAAAATGGTGTTAAACGTATTCTATTGTTGGTGGCTAAGTTCACGTTGACATATCAGCAGCTTATTTTAAAACTTTGTGGGAGGTTGTTTTCTAAATGACATGAACTTTAATCACTAGCTGATTTTTTTATTTTAAAAAAGCAGTCAAAAGTAATGACAGTGGAATCCAGCAGAGCTGTGATGATGGAAGAGAATCTTTACCGTCCACAGTGTCAGCCAATAGTTTATATGAACCTGGTGAGTTTTAGTGAAATTCAATGTTAATTGAATTTGTTAATTGTTTGCTGAAAAATAACGTGACAAAATGTCTAATATTGATTAAATAGTTTCTGCAAGGCAGTGGTCTATAGGGAGGAGTAATACAAATGAGAAAGCACCTATTTCTTTTGTATTTGCTGTTTTTCTCTTAGCTGTCCAGCCTTCTAACCCCTGTGATACATGCAGAAGGTGCCTTGTTGGTTGCTAAGGATAATTTTAAATCTATAAGAATGTACATTTTACTCTTCATTTTTTCTTATGGCTCTCTTTTCTTATTAGGAGAAACACATTAGCAGTTCCCTTCCCATTAGATTTTACTTCTGACTGAGACTTTATTCCTAAATTTTCATTTCATGATTTCAGTCTTATAAAATCACAGGATAGTAAACATACTTCAAATTATTTGATCTGCTTTTCCTGGAAATTTTGATGGTATTGGGGGCCAGCCCAGGAACAAAGGGGAATTTGATCTAATGGTAACATTCTTTAGGAATTGTTATTAGTGCTTCTGAGACCTTAAGTCCAGGCTCATAGTAATATACCTATTTTAATGTACTACAGAGAATTAACCTACCGACTGGGTATTGGCATGACCACATTGGTACTGAAATGCCAGTTGGTGTCTTCCTAAGAGAAGAAGGTTGACGGGGGAATGATTAGACTATGGGAAGTAAAAAACCTGAAAACCTCCATTACCTCATACTGCTAAACTAGTGGCTTTTCTTTTTTTTTTTTTTAAAGATTTATTTATTTGTGCATACAGAACTGGGGTACAGGCCAGAGGCTCAGGGGTGGCGAAAGGCTTCACCAGAGACAGAGTGGGGAACAGAACAGGCAGATCGAGGAAGTACACTGCTGAGGGGAGCAGCGGGCGGGTCAGGAGAGGTCTGCCGCGCCATGTGATCACCTCCGGGGCAGGCGGGAATCGAACTCATGCGGAAGCGCTTTAGATTCTCAGTGCTGTGCTTTAACCTGCTGCGCCACCAGGGAGGGCCACTAGTGGCTTTTCTTAAAAAATATTCACACTGTGATACAAATAAGAGGTCATTAAAAAAAATGTAGTAAGATATCCATAACATAAACTTTATCACCTTAACCAGTTTTTAAGTTTTTGTTCAGTGACGTTAATTCTGCTCACAATTTGGTGCTATCATCACCATTATCCACCCAGAGAACGTTCCATTTTATAAAACTGAGACTTTCAACCCATGTAACAAAAACTTCCTGTTTTCTCTCTCCCCACCAAGAGCTCATTTTTAATGATGTAATTTGTCTTTGCTTTTCAGAGGGAGAAAGGCAAGATTCTGTGTTTCTTGACTCTAAGCATCTTAATCCAGGACTTCAGCTTTACAGAGCTTCATATGAAAAAAATCTTCCAAAAATGGCCGAGGCTTTGGCTCATGGTGCAGATGTGAACTGGGCTAATTCAGAGGAAAACAAAGCAACGCCACTTATTCAGGCTGTGTTAGGGGTATGAGTTCCTACATTGAGATTTTCACGGATAGTGTGATTTAAAAATTATAATTTATTCTATACATATCTTTAGAATTATTTCTAGCTTCAAGAGATGGGTTGTAAAAATACAAAAGGGAGTAGTGGTTTCTGTGCATCACTTTAATTTTAATTGCACGTAAGCTCAGTTTTTGTCTTAATGGAAGAAGGTTCTTCTAATGAAAGAAGTATGTTTTCTTAGGTCACCAATTGCAAATTGAAACCTTATTAGCACTAGTTCCTGGGAAGAAATAATATATATTATCTGTGCTTTTGCTGGGGGTATTTTTCTTTTCTGTGGAGGGTGAATTAGATTATTAGAGTAAATTATATTTTAAATTAAATTTTTGAGTTCTCTGTTTTTAATAGAAATATATAGTCTTCCTTTTGTGCATTCTTATTTTCCTTTTTTCCCAAGGGCTCTTTGGTGACGTGCGAGTTTCTCCTGCAGAATGGTGCTAATGTGAACCAAAGAGATGTGCAAGGCCGGGGGCCACTGCACCATGCCACTGTCTTGGGGCATACTGGGTAATCTATTTGCACTCACATATTTAAGGAAATTTTATTTGAAAATTTGTTTTGAAGTGATGTTTCTCTTTTTCTTAGTTTCGCTTTTTCTCTACAAAAGTAGTTTGTAAACTTCTACTTTTCCTCTGACTTAAAATGAATTTGAGACAAATTGTTCAGAAATGTCTTACTGTTAATTTTCACATATGAAAATTGCAAAACTTTGAGCTTCACTTGCAATTTATATAGATAATTTTTAGTATTCAAACTGTTACTGACATTGTAGTTTGCCACACCACTTAGGTCTATGTGTATACTTGTGCATGTACTCATAAATATGTACATAGAAAACACTTTTGGGGAGAATTTATAACTGGTAATTTCAGTTCCCACAGGGTGGCCGATGTAAAAATTTTAAAGTAAATTCTTAGCTTCTGGTATTGACATTGTAGCTTCTGGATCAAATTTTAGGCTTCCAAAATAGAAAAGCCTTGAAAATGAATTTCCTATTAAAGGATACAAAGCAAACAAAGTGTTAGTCTTGTATAAAAACTTAGTGTCAGAGTTGATTTTTAATGGTGACGTGCGAGTTTCTCAGGCTATTCAGTCCTTTTTTTTTTTTTTTTTGAGGTAACATTTGGTTCACAACACTGTGCATTTTAGGAGTACAGCTTCACACCTCCATAAATCTGTGCCACCCCATGTCTGCTTCCAAAGGTCTAGTTCCCATGTACCTTAACATTTTTGGCTTCCTTTTCCCAAAGCGACCTGTGCGACTTTAATTTTATTTAAATTTATAGATACCTATGCACATAATTTACACATTCCACTATGGTATAATGCCAGTTTAAATATGAAAATACCTTAATACTGTAATGCTAGTCTTGGTAAATTTTTATCAGTCAATGTTCAATAAATACTTGTAGAATGAATCAAGAATTTCCTAATGAAATGTTTCCTTTAAATTAAGTGTTGCTTTTAATTTTTAAAGTGTAAACTAATTTATTTTACTGGCAATATCTGAAAAATACTGTTTCCTTAAATAGGCAGGTATGTTTATTCTTAAAACGAGGTGCCAATCAACATGCTACTGATGAAGAAGGAAAAGACCCTTTGAGTATAGCTGTGGAAGCAGCCAATGCTGACATAGTGACATTGTAAGTGTTTTCTTTTTAATTATTTCCCACATTACTGCCCTAAAATGGATTCTTTTAATTCTCAGGATAGAACTGGGATGAGGGCTGAATTGGTAGAGTGGCAGGGAATTATTAAACCTCAAGAATTACAACATTATAAGGACAACTGCATGTTGTTAGAGCCTTTGCAGTTGTATTGCCATTGGGCAGTGATACTTGGTGTGTTTGTGCTTTTAATTTAAAAGAATTTAAAGAATAGCCTAATTTTTTTATACTTTATTTGTATTTTTTTACATCATTGTTCATTTTTGTACAGTGTTTGCTTTTTCTTTCCAGGTGTAACCCCCATATAATTCTCAATACCAATTCACCCTGCACCATCACCATAGTTCCTTGTGCTTTTCCCTCCATTTTGATAGCTGCCCCATCTCCCCTGTAGAATATTTCTGATTTATAGTTAACTGTTAATTTTGGTTTTTACTTATGATTATTGTTTTCCCCCATGTCCCTTATATTCCTCCTGTAAGTGAAACCATCTATTATTTTTCTTTTTCTTTTGGCTTATATCACTGAGCATAATTCCTTCTAGCTCCATTCATATTGTTGCAAATGGAGCAATATTCTTAATTTTAAGATAAGATAACTTAAAATATTTGCATATATTTTAATCTGATCTGTTAAGGAATTCTGAGGTTTCAATTTGATTTTCATCTTAGAGTTGTTAGTCTTAAACTCTGGAATTGTGATTGTTAAATATACTCTTCATTATCATGTAGGAAACCTTAAACATGTGTTGTGTAAAGTCACTTACTCTATTTTGTGCAGAGTAAAGTCTAGAATTGTTGATCCTACTGTATGAGTAAGAGTTCTATCACAGTAGACTCTTGGTCACTTAGAAGGAGACTCCCACATTGACGCCTTGAACTCCTGAACTCAATCTGTGTGCTCTTGACCCTCCTGCCAAATTAAAAAAGAGAGAGAGCAAAACATATGTCCTCAGTGCTCAATGCCTTTTCCCTCCTGGAGGGGTTACTGTCACTGTGTAGGCCACTATAGGAAAATTTAGATACTAAATCATTATAGATTTATAATTAGAGACAGATAAGTTACTAAAGGTTAGATAGAAATGATAAATAGAAACCAACCCTGGATGCAGATTCCCAGGCAATTCTCATAATAGTGCTTCATCTTTAAAAATGTCTGTTCCAAATTTTTCTACATTTTCTTACTTTATGTGAGGATTTCAGTTCATTTAATACATTTTGAAAATAGTTCTCTCCTGAAAAGTCCAGATACCAAAGCTAGAACTTGTGATGTTTCTATTCATACTATTCATACAGTAGACCTGTAGTACTTTGGGAATATGAAAAATTCATGCAGATGAGGTAGTTGCCAGAGAGAGCATATTAGTTATTTTTAAAATTATTTTCAGTTTATTTTTTGCATAGAAGAACTGAGAAGTAGGCCAGAGGCGCAGGAGGTGAGAGGATTCATCAGAGACAGAGTGGGGACCAGGTCAGCCATATCTACTGAAATGCACTGTTAAAGGGAGCAGTAGGTGAGACAGAAGAGGTCTGTTGTGCCTGATGTGGGTCAGCTCCCTGGCCAGGAATTGAATTCAGGCCTTAGTGGTAATAGCGCTGAGACTTAACCCCTAGGTGATCAGGGAGGCTCCCCAGAGAGAGCATATTAGAAGAAGGGGATAGAGATCTGGGAGTGTAATGGGTGATCTACACGATAGGTGAGCAGTACACACTAGAAGAGGGGTGCCAAAGCCAACAGTTGCCTGTCTAAAAAGATTGTTTAAAGTGAGTAAATAGGAGGAAATTCTTGTTGTCTTAGGTCAGTCTACATCTCTTTCTATTACCAGGTTGAATAACCCAAAAAAGAATTCATAACCACTATGGTATATGTACCTTGGCATATGGTGTATGGGAGCATTCACTCATTTTTATAATGTTTATATAACATATTAAAAAGATATCCCCAGTATTTAGAGATAACACACACTATTTAAATATGTTTGAAACTACCTCACTTCAGGGTGAGCCAGAAGGTACTTTAGCTATTGCTTCTGTAGTGTAGAATCGATAATTTCACCAGTGGGCAGTTAAATTTTAACAAGTTACAGTAGAAACTAGGAACTCTCTTGAGTCTGGAGGAAGCAGGCTGCTGGAGATGTTGAAAGAACCCTGCTTAAGCAGAGCTGAATGCACTTGTTAGAAATCTTTCGCTGTCTTCTCGCATGTGCATTACATGAAGTATAATATTTTTGTATCACAAATTGCCTGGTTTGATAAAAATTCATTTATTTTAGTGGCAAATATGGTAAAGAAAAATAAGTAAAACATCAGTACATGTTTTACTTATTTATATAATTCATTAGTTTGTGATTGTTTATGTAGTATAACTTCATCTAAAATGATTTTATTTAATTTTAGGTTACGTTTAGCAAGAATGAATGAAGAGATGCGGGAATCAGAAGGACTTTATGGACAGCCAGGTCAATATTCCACTAATAACCATACTGAAATGCAGTATAAGAAATGCATTCAGGAATTTATCAGTTTACAATTGGAAGATTCTTAGTTCCCTAGCAAACTAACTTAATACTATAGAATTTTTATAACTTACTTGTAAATTGTGAGTTGTTAGTATGTACTGTACTTATTGAATCCTTGGGGGTTGCTAACTTCCGAATCTTCAAAATTCTCTAACTATTCCTATTACAGTACACATTTTCCTGCTCTATTTAACTCTGGCTGCTGATTTCTTTATCTGCTGTACAGATGTCTTCCATATACATTCCAGTGAAGTGAATGGAATGATAATGTGTCTTTATACTTTTACAGCAGCACAATAGTCATTTTCTTTTTGTAATTCTCTAACTATCAAGTGAATATAACATTATTATTTTCTTTTTGTTATTCAGGGAATTTCTATAAATTGTGTTCAGGGAAAAAAAAAATCACCATCTGTTTGGTATATAAAAAGTATGGAAAACCCCTAGGAGAAGTTGATTGAATTCGAGGTTTGCACTCTGATCTAAAAATGAGTAGAAGGTTTAAAAATAAAATTTACTGTAGGTGGAAAAAGTCCATAGTGAGAGTGGAATTAATTTAAAAGGTAGAGGAAAAGGGTCTCATTTATCTTGTAGACTTGCCCCCAAGCAATTGTATAATAATTGTTGGATAAATAGCAGTATTAGGACTATATTTTGCGAACCTGATGGCAAAGTACACTAACTAGAGAAATCTGAACTCAGTATCAGCTCAAGTCTCAAGTGAGTAATTTTCACCTTTGAGTGAAGATGTTAAGAAAAGGAACAAGATGCTGATCAGATTCCTTTCTTTGTTGAGCATGTTCTAATTAGACAGTCTTGACAAAGAAGCAGTAATTATTGGATCTTCCATTTCATGATTAGAGTATATGAATTACTAACTTAATGGTTGAATTCATAGGCATTACTAAAACTTTTCAGGAATTCATAACTAAAATACTTGAATGTTCAGTTTGCAAAGAGTATGTTTGATTTTTTTTTCAATGAATATTAATATGTTATTTTTAAAGTGGCTTGTAATATACTCTAAATATTTTTTAAAATTCTGTGCTTTATGCTTGCTTTCAGTTATTAATTTTTTATTTTATATAATATAAATATGAGGCCATTCTTTTCTCAGAGGACTGTACTACTACTAATTTGTGGTCTAATTTAATAGGGAACAAGTAAGAACTTTGAGCATAGAGGCACTTCAGCTAGATACTTCTAATCTAGGGTGTCCCACTTTAATCCTATGGATCATACAATACTGCTGACTCATGATTTACCAAGATGTAAGCGTGCTGATTAAGGGTGAAGTCTCAGCGTTAATTCTGAATTTCACCTTTTTGTTTTAAACTTGAATGTTAGATTTTAAATAAGTTATAATTTTGTAATACATACTTAAGTAATAGTATTATTGGCCATTTTTGAGGCCTTTGTGTTTAAGCACTTTAAAATAAAAAGTATTTAAAGGTTATGACCCGATATTTGTGAGATCAGAGGGAACATCAAGATTTTACATTCAATAGTTTTTCCCTTGAAATTTAAACTTTAATGTTTGGTCAGTTCTCTTTCCTGAAGGTGTTTGATGATAAAGTTACACCCAACTAATTAGCATCAGATCAGTAATTTACTTCTCTCTGCAGGTGGGAAGCTTTAAGGGATAGGGCCTGTATGTTCTGGCAGACTCTAATTCTGCTCAGATTGATTGGGGTTTCGCGTCTACCATTTCAGAGCATTGAAATGCCACGTTCACTGTCATTTTATGAATATGTTTATAAGTATATACCATCTATTTATCAATAGAAAAACAGATTTTTCCAATTTATTTGAATAAAATTGGGGAACAAAAGCCTAATTTTAAGATGTCCAGCTATTCTCAAATTTAGGTTTAGAGGCTAAAAATAGAACAAAATTCTGGAAATTGTGTATTTGCAGAATAAAAAGATGTTGATCTATTTGAGGATCAATTAGATTTTTAACTTATTTAGAGGACTTCAATTAAAGCAGAATGATTTTAAACTTATAAATTTAACATGGTGAAATGGTGCAGAAATTGCTTTCTGACTATTTTTCTTCTATGAGCCTTTGGAAAGCAGATGTGTTTGCTCAGGCAGTAGGTCTTTATTTTTGCCTCTGCTTTTCACTATAAATTATTCTCACATGGACTTCATTGGTTGTTTTATTTATTAGCTCCTTTTCTTGCCTAACAGTAGAAGAAAAACCCTCAGAATTTTGGATAATTTTAAAATGCGGTTATTTTCAATAGTCGATAATGAAGATTTATACCATTTAAAAGACCGAGATACAATCTTTGGCAATCATCAACCCATTTGTAGGAAACTCCGCTTCTGAACTTTCTGTCTCCAACTCTGTAAGGACCCTTGACTCCCTATTTTATGCGAGGCTGTTTAAGAGCACACACTCCCTACAGAAAAAGATGTATCTATCCTTATCAATTCCTAACTTTAAGAGGACTGGGAGGGTGGATGAAATATGCTCTACTCTCAATTGTTGGAAACCAGTTTGGTGGTTTCCACAGTCTCTGCAGTTTCTAGCTCTATGACTGTTTGATGACAGTTTTTCAGCCTATTCAGAATCACAGCTTTGAACTACTACAGATTAAATGAGTATGTTGGCTTGCTGGCAAAAGTTGACCATTGGTCTAATTAGGAAGGAAGCTGAAACCAACCCTGAAGTGGCAGGATTGTACACATGATCATCTGGGGTGTGGGCTCACATCTGCTGCCATCTCTCTGAGGGGAGTACATTTTAAGAGCAAAATCTTGGGTCACCATAATACTGTTGCAGTGGATAATCCTGACTAACCAAAATCAAAAACTATTTAAAACTATCAGTGGAATATGTAGCAGTCCACATTTAAAAAACTCAGAATTACCCAGGCACATAGAAAAGTTAACTTTCTAAAGAGAAAAGAATATGATTAAGTAATTTGAAGATTAAATGCATTATTATAATTGTTGGCTGATTAGTTGTTCACCATTCATAATAAACTGTTAAATGTGCTTCGAAGAACTTGCTGGGGCAACATATTGGGTTGTTCTTTATTGTGTTCTAGTGTAGAAAAGTTATATTTGCCTTAGGGAAAATTTTAATGAATGAAATTATACATAAAATTTAAAGAGTCACATTGAAGTTCAATTTGTGTTAACTATATTAAATATTACAGTCACTTGTTATTGTAATGTGTGCCCTAATAACATATTTTGAGGTCTAAGAAAGGTATTCTATTGGTAGTCCATTAATGTTTTCTTAGAAACTGAATGTTAACGAGGTGTGTGTGTGTGTGTGTGTGTGTGTGTGTGTGTGTGGTGAGACCTCCTTTTGCATTGTATTGACTTTAAGAAAATCTGTTAAGTCAGTGAAACAGATGACTAGTGTAGCACCAACACTTTCCTTCAAGGAAATACTTAAGTTCAGTGAATAAAAGATCTAATAGTGTGTTTTGCATGGTACAATGGTTCTACTAAAATGTACTTGTATAATAGGTACTAGGTGATTTAACAAAAACTGGAATACCATAAAAAGAAAAAAAAATCTCACAGCTGGTTATATAAAATATGCATTATTAATAGTAGAAGCCATATATTGCCATTGTACTGTTGTAATACTTCAGAATGCTCACCTGGTGCTATCTGTAAACTATTTGGCATTAGCATCGGCTAGATCCTTCTTCCTATTTCTTCTTGAATGTATAATGTGTGCCTTTTAAGTTACATCTGGTGTTGAGTGGTAAAAAATCAGTGTGGTATTTTTGTATTATAATCTGCACTTTACACTTTAATGGGAAGTAAAATTACAGACTCTCCAGTTTAATAGTATTTTAAAAGTAAAATGTTTACAATAAATATTTTAAATATTTTAATTCAACATCTAAAAACAAAAAAATTAAGTATTTTGTATGGTTTGTTGTTATTTAATGTTGGTCTTTTCTTAGTTTCTGTCTTTTAGAATGGCTGAAAATGGGAATAGATTATAATTTGTCTTTTCATGTGGGAGTGAACTTTTAAGGAATCTTGGGTATAATTGGATTGTTTTACCAGTTGTCCTAGCATATCAACCTTTACTTTGATTGTTTTAATAACAATAATGGTTTGGAAGTTACGTTTAGTCACCCTATTAAGATTCTATTCTTACTGTGTGTGTGTGTTTTTTTTTTTTCTTTTAAAGTAGATGATTCAGGTCATGAGGAAATTTCCAGGGCTAAATGAAAACTATGTATAGATTTGAATAACTTGCTTTTTACATAGACTTAACATTAACAGTGACTAGAAATTGAAAGTATTAAATAATTTTTTATTGAAAATCTTGGATTATGCTGTTAGACCTTTTTATTGTCTTTACCCCCTTCTCCCAACTTTTTTCTAATGCTTTAGCTTTTAGTATGAGATCTTTTGCCTCAAAGTATTTGCTTTATAGAAGCTGACAAAACTTACTGCACTATTAACAACAATTACAGCAATGAATTTGTAATAAGGTGGATGCAAGGTATCTTATGAGAAATAATTATGAAACCATGTTGCAACAATAAATATCTAAAACAGTATATGACAGACTAAATCTTGAGAACAGAATCATGCCAAGATTCTGTATAAAGCTAATGCTTAATAGGAAGCATTTGTGATGAATGATTTACCTTGAAAATACGATTTTACTTCATACAGTTCCTTTCTGAGGAGTTAATCTGTATGTGTATGTATATATTTAGATTTCTGTAGCAAGAAAATCAGTATTCAACTGCTGTATCAATATTGCTAATTCTCTAAATATATTTGTATGTATATGTGTATACATATTACTCAGATTTTACAGATGTCTTTGATTTTTAATCCCATTCTTGTTCTTATGAACTAGTGGGGAAAAAAAAAAAGCCTGGAGCTTAAGTGAAACTTTGCTTTTATAGTCATTTTTTAGGTTTTATCATCTTAGAAATTTAGTAAACTTTGGATTAGGTGCATTTGTTTCAGTCAAGCATTAAAATTTGAGTATAGAATTGCTTTTCACATGCTATTTAAATTTAAGTATCTTTTAATTACAAGATAATATCAAATGGGAGGATTTACCCCCACTTGATTATCATTTTGTCTTGGTAATAACTTGCATCCATCAGAAACATTAGTATTTGTTTTTGATCTTTTCTTTTGTCCTTGATGAAAGGAAATACACTTATTTAAAGAATGCTTTGTTTACTATACCTCATTTAAAATAATTTTCATTTCTCAATTGTTAATAAATGTATTTCTTTACATTGCTTTAAAACACTTGCTCTTTGCTCTTTTCTAACTCTGAACTTTCCTCTGTGGCTGCATCTGAGGTGCTTTATTCAGGTATAGTTGATTTTTTGTTTGTTTGTTTTTACTATATGTTTTTCTAGTACTAATATTTGTCTTTTTTTTTTCCCCAACAATGCTCGTCTGAACAAATTTTAATATGACAATTACAAAATTGTTACTAGCCATAAAATGAATGTTGTTTATTAATACTTTAATTGTATATATTTTTTTAAAGTGTCCTTATTTTACTTCCATACAGGTGATGAAACTTACCAGGACATTTTTCGTGATTTTTCCCAAATGGCATCCAATAATCCAGAGAAACTAAATCGTTTCCAGCAAGATTCACAAAAATTCTGAATGTTTCTTAAGAAAGGGAAAATACTAAATTTGGTGATACCTTTTGTGTGTACATCTGAAAACTCAGATTTTTACTGCTTTAATTCTACTTTCTTAAGCTTGGTAGATACTGTGTGGTTTAGAAAAAAGGTACCTATTTGTTGATATTTTTATAAAATAAAATAGATTTCTAGTAGTTGGGAGAGGACCTTCTTTTAGAATCTCTTTTATTAAAAATAACTTGTTTAAAAGGCTATTGTAGCTAGACATAGGCCCTCTGTAGATTAGAATATGCTAAGAGTTTAGACAGTATTTCTTCTTTTGCCAGTGGGTGGTAGCATTGAATTTTTTCCTATCATTCAGTCAAGTATATCTGCATCAAGTGGAAGCCCCCTTCCTGCCTGCCTTAAGAGGATATCTTTTCTTTAACTCCCCTGGCCATTTTTGGTGGTGCAGGAAGATTTTGTGTTTTTATTTTTTGTATCTTAGCTATTAATAGACATGAAATTCAATTGTTAGAAGTAGAGAGAGTGTTTCCTTAGTTATGTTCCTTACATGCCTGATTGCATGCACATTTACATAACATACAGTGATTGTATAGGTAGGCGTCATTCGGCCCTTTACATTTGTTCCATGTATAGGAAGCAAAAAGAAGCCCTTTAATTTTAAAGAAAATCAAAATAATCTCATTTATAGAGGTTTTAGTTTTTTGTTGTTGGGCTGATTTTCTAAAACCTTTACAGGCTTATTGATGTAAATAAAATGTTTCAAAGGTTACTTGAATGTTGCAAACTTATGCTTTCATCAAAATGTAACTTTCAAAGGAAGCCTTGATTTATAAAATAATGTAGAGCATTTTTATATTTGAAATTTATTTCAAGATACACTTTTATATTGTTCCTAGTGAAAGAAAAACCACTCTGTAAAAGGAGAAAAGAAAATCCACATTTTAGCTTCTACTAAAATATACAGCAATAAATTGCTTTTTAATTTTTCCCAATGTCCTGTGTACTTCTTGTGCACAGTGTATATATATTTTTAAATTATACATAGCATCTATATAGTTTTATTACTTGGTTATAGGAATCACAGGCCCTTAAATTGCAAAATATTATAGATACACTTTTTAATCATGATATACAACAATTAATCTGTCTCCATCTTTGACATATCTTGTCAGGAGTATAAAATACTGAAGTAATTTGCCTTACAGCTTCATTCTAATGTTATCAACAATTAAATTTAATCTTTTAAAGTTACATACACAGTATTATTACTTCTCAGTTTCTAAATAAAAGAGGCTTAAAATTTTTGCTGTCTAATACAATACATTGAAAAATTACATTTTTCTCTTATAAGTTGATTTTTATAAATTGGTTATACATTAAATCAAAATTTGGCTAAACATCAATAATACTGAAATACATTTAAAGAAAATGTTCTATAATTGGCCAATTATAATTATAATTGCATGCATATAATGCTTATTTAGTAAAAATCACTGCATATTAGATAAGGATAAATATATGAATTATTGCTAAGGAAATGCTAATTTTGAAAGCCTTGTACTTCGCGACAATAATTGGAGCATTAAATCATTCCTGTTTCACATTAGAGTGATGTGGCTTTGAAAAAACCTGTGACTTTTTTTTACCAGTATACACGTTGAAATGAATGATCCAAAAAGTTCAAGGATAAGGAACTATATTAAAAACAAACCAACAAATAGAGAAGAGAGAGCCTCAATTTACCTTTGTAGTGCCTATTCCTGTTTTAATCCTAGGACTTCATGCCTACAGCTCCTAACCTTTATCCTAGGAAACCTAGGCAGTGCTTTTGCATCCAGCCATTGGTGCTTCAGATCACCGCTAGGATCCTGACTGTAAAGGCAATTCTCTTTGACACTCATACCTCCCATAGCTTTAATCATGAGTTGTTAATGTGGCAGTAATTAGTATCTACTTAAATGTAATGGTTAGAGATGTATTTGAAGTGCACTGAAGAAGATCATGGTTCTGATATCTTCAGCAAAAAGTAAATCTTTAGCAGCACAGGAAGCCTAACAATACAAAAATACATTTCTGTGGCAAAATTTCTTGAATAAGCTAAACCCAATCTGAATGAAATTTGACAGAAATGAGATCATAAGCAGCAAGGCTTTAAAAGTCAGCTTGTAGGTAGTAGTCACAAAGTAGTTTAGCTCTTATCAAGGTGAGTTTAGCTGTGTCAACTAGTAGCTTTTATTTAGTATGTAACAAGTCTGAGTTTCATTATGCTGTGAATTATTCAATGCATTATGAGAAGTTACAGTGTATAAACATTGTTTATCAGATTCTTGGGCTTCATGAATCAGTGTGATTGCCCATTGTTTTCTATCCCTAATTGCTCTTTGTTTTCTGATTCCTTATTATTCTGTTAGCTCATTATCATTAGCTCATAACTGAAAATTTAGACTAATATTAAAATAAGAATAGCAGTACTATGAAGAGTTCATAAAAACACAATTTTGTGTAAGAACCAAAGGTAACTGAGTAGTTATTTACAATATTTCATTGTAACAGTATGTTTAATATTTCTGAGGTTTAAAAAGTTACCTTTGGTACAAACCTTAGAAATTGAAATTTGCAGTGAGTGAGTCACTATATTACATTGGTTTGCCTATGTTGGTTTCTACTGTAAATTTGTATTTACTTTCCAAAATTATATAGATTTAATTTGGCATATGTGCTTTGGTTTTTCATGAGTACATTTTGGGGGAAAAAACATTTTATCTTTACAGTCTAGACCATTAAAGTTTGTGATGTGTTAAGCAGTATTTTAAAAATGTGATCTTACACATGTAAAGTATGGTTATAATAAACCAAATTGTATTTAAGACTAAATTTACTACCCATTTTGAATAATAACACATTCCCATATCACTCTTAATGTTGTTAAACTGACTTTTCTGTTTGATAGCACTTTTTTTTTGGTCATGGATATGAGCTGGAAAAATGATATATTTTTATAGAACTTTTACTGTAGAGTATCTTCAGACCTGTATGATAGAGTGGAAGGAGCACTGACAAGAAATTTTTAGATTCACAATTACAAAGAGTAGACTGGAACATGGCAAAATGGTAATACCACTTTGTACACTATTCTGCTGTTCATGGTGTTCTCTGACATACTTTATCTCAGTTGATTCTGCTCGTTGGACATGAGATCTTAACATTGTCCCTTCACTGATTTTAGGTTACTTCTCTTGCTTTTCAGAGAAGGGTCCCTTTATGTGCTCGTTGGGGGCAAAGCTAGCACCAGAACAACTGCTGACTGCTATTCAGAGGCACTTTGGTTATTTCATGAAATGATTTGAAATCATTGAAAAGCAGCAAAATCTAATAATGACTGCCAGCTTTCCTTGTGTTTTGATAACAGAGACTCCGAATATTTTGGAGAATCTGCATTTGAAAGAATAGGTTTAGGATTTGAAGACATTAAATTATAGAAAAGCTTTACATTTTTACAATAACATTAAGGAAAACAAAACATTATAAAGATAATTTTAATTCACCAGATCTTCATCAATTTCTTGATATTTCCAAATGAAATATGACTGCAAGGGGCTTGGATTCAGTGTTGCTGAATCCCAACATCCATTCTTTTTTGTTTACATAAATATATATACTTTACATGAGATAATGAGGGGAGAGAAACATTGTTTGGTTAAAATTTTCTGCATTTTCACTCTTACGTCCTAGATTTTCTTGTTTTTCCTTAATACTCCTCCCCTCCCCACTTTGGTGTTAATTTTAAACAGGGAAAGCTCGCTGCAGATAAAGATTGTTGGCACCACTTATTTTACATGAGGGCTGAAGGTTAATGTTTGAAAATTGATGGGCTACTTTTCTATATGTGTTTACTTGTGCTTTGTGGTATTTCTGGATCATTCCAGTCATAAAGACTTATTACATGTAATATTTCTTGCTACCTGTGAAATAGTATATTTTAAAGAATGTATAACCAACACTCCATTTACTTTTTAGTAGTATGTAGAGGATTTATATCTAACTCATGTAGTTTTACTGTAGTTTGTCATTGTAAATGGAACAAAGTACATTACCTTTACAGTTATTCTAAAATGTACATTATGTAAGAATTGTAAATACTATTCTTGATTAAATCTTTGTATGCTGAAAAATTATAAGAAGTCAATAAAAATCTTACCTCTGGTATAGTTCTTTTATGTTCAGACTTCCACTTTATTGTGAACTATATACCTGTTAACTGTCACGCAGTCCAGACTGATCCTGGAGGCTGATTGCTTCAATCAAGACATCCATTTAGATCTTTTTAATATTTTCTTCTGTATCACTAGGCTGTGTGATTCCCAATTCATTAACTAAAAAAAAGAGGACTTTATTTTTTTCTCTAGCTCTGTGTTTTTCCCATTGTGAGCGACATCTTGTTTGACTAGAAACTCATTCCCACTCAGTCCTTTCAGTAAACAAAAACATGTTTAAATGCAAGTTGAAATTAAAGAAATAGAGGGATGAAAGAACAGATTTGAAAGTGAATTGACTGCTCTTGCCTTTCCAATATAAGTTAGTTGAAAGCAGGCACATAAAACTTTCCTATGTAACTTGCTTTATTCCACTTAATATTTTCAGAACAGTTGTATAAACTGTACTGTCAGAGATAGTGCATGTTTTAAATTAAAAAAAGCCATTTTTCTTATTGCAAAACAATACTTTTTCTATAGAAAAATGTTTAAATAATGATAATTTTAAAAGAAGATAATCATCCAGAATTTCAGCATCTGCTTAAGTGGTCCAGTTTGGTGTATATATACCAAATGTGACGTGAAATCTAAGTTAATTAAAATTAGAAGAAATTGAGCGTTCAGGTGCTCTGTTGCATTGCCCCATTTTAAGAGCTCACCAGTTCCGTGGCTAGTGATTACTGTTTTGAGCAAGGTAGACTTTAGAACATGTTCATTATAGGAAATTTTACTGGATGAAATTGAAAGGAAAATATACTTTTTGCATGTGTTCTTCTAGACCATGGGATGTGTATTTATACACATGTTGTGGGATCATACTCTTGTTACCTGTTTTTACTTAGTAGATGGGAAAAAATTCCAAATCCTTTAGTATTCTACATCAGTTTTAGAAATTAAAAAAAAATGTGCAATTTCAAACATCTACAGAAGTTGAATACCTTAAAGCTAGTAGCTCATAGCTAACACTGTTTACCTGTGCTCCCATTTCTCACTTTCCTCAGATTTTTTTCTAATCAAATCCCAGATATTTAGTGATGAAATTGTTTGACATGTGTCTCTAAGGACTCTTTAAAAATTGCACCGTAACACACTTCCTTAAAATAAAAAACTATGGCCCTCCCTGGTGGCGCAGCGGGTTAAAGCACTGCACTAAGAAGCTTAAGCCACTTCAGCATGAGTTCCTACCCCGCCTGCCCTGGAGGAGATCCACATGGCGTGGCAGACCTCTCCTGACCAGTCCTCTGCTCTCCTCAGCAGTGTACTTCGTCGACCTGCCTGTTCTGCCCCCCACTCTGACTGGTGAATCCTCTCACCCTCCACATCTCTGGCCTGTACCCCAGTTCTGTATGAATAAATAAATCTTAAAAAAATATATAAAACTGTATATTCAAATTCTCTTAGTTGTTTCAAGTATATTTTTAAAATTTTACTCTTCAAGTCAAAATTTATGTAAATTCCCTACATTGCATTTGGCTGATATGTCTGTTGAGTATAGGTTCTTCCTTCATTTGTTATTTTTTTTTAATTCCACTTGTTTTTTGAATACATTTTAATGACAGCATTATTTTAGTCACTGTTTTCACTATCAGCAATATAGGAAGTTGCAGGTTAACTTATCCTGATATTTGTTGGTTAGGATTCTTAACAGGAGTGGTACTTATTGCATAGTTTTTACTGTTTGGGCACCGTTCTGCTCTTCATTGTCTTTCAAGTCCTATGAGGCATAGGTGATATTATTAGCCCCATTTTCTAGATGATTAATTGCAACTCAGATTAAGTAGCTTGTCTGAGGCCTTAAAAAATTGAGTGTTGTTAGATTGCTGGATTTCCAGCCTAGACAGTGTACTCCAGAGCTTGTTCCCTTAATCATAGTTATCTAGGAAAGGGTGTGGTAAAATACAACTCAAAGCTAAAATTACTGCCTTCAGTACTAACATCGTCTAAAAATTTAGTATTTGGAAGATTTAAGATTTGGGTTGTGATCCTGTCTCCATAACTTATTAGCTCACTAAATTTTGGGAAATTCTCAATCTCAATTAGAAAGGAGGAATAATACCTTTACCTTTTGGAGTTGGGATAAAGAGCCTGTTCCTCAAGTAAACGCTGCTATTGAGTCTGCTCCCCACCCCCATGAATGATATATTTCTAATCAGGCCTGCATTCAGATAATTCTTCAGAAAGTGTTATTTCAATTGGAAAGGACAAGAGTTAAAAATGAGATGAACTGTAGAGGTGTACTCCACCTCTACTTTGAGAAATAATGGCAGGGCATTATTAAACTGGTGAAAGATCAAACTGGCTTTGTCCATGCCTTCCGTCTTCCTCTCCTGCACACCATTTGGGTGACTTAACTTAAGCAATATGGTATATTATCAGCCCTTAAAAGATTTACTTAATTGAATTTTTATATAGTTGGCAGTACCAAAACTGCCAATATGTGACTTTGGGTAGGTTACTTCAGTGTATCTCAGGTAAGATTTTGCCAGAATACCTGGTACAAATTAAGACTTCCTAGAAAAGGTTAAAATACATCCATCTATTTCTTAAAAAGATACAATATAATGAAACTTTAAAAGTATAGGAAAATAAAATACAAAATAATAAAAATATCACAACCTGACCCCTCTAATCCCTGTAAACCTAGGCCGCTCAGGGCTGTCTCTCTGTTCTTGGAAGTTTTGGGCTCCTGGGTTCCCTCCCAGGACATCTTCCCAGTTCCTCTAGTGGACCTCAGGAATGCCAAGTGGGATAGGGAGGCAGTTTTCACCTACTCTATCGCTCGTAGAACTTGTTAGTTTAAATATCTTACCCCGACAACTAGTTTCCAACTTGTGAGGGGATGGTGAGAGGTCTTAATAGCTTCAAAAGTTAGGACAAAACGGATAGTGATAAAAACGTTTCCCTCTTTGTTCGTTCAAATTAGGCTTATTAATTTACTTATTTTTTGGCTAGCCTTAGGTCCTGCATTGAGTTTCAAAACTTAAAATGGGCCAGTTTTCGCGGATGGACAGCCGCGGGCATCTGATTATCACCATGGCTTCCCCGCACGCTGAGAAAGAAAGACTGTCACCGCCACCACGCGGGCCAACCTGACGCTAATCCCTCCCGCTCTAGGACCCTGCGACGGCCAGGCAGTCCTGGCTCCGCCTTCCCGCGCATCAGCACCTTCGGATTGGCTCTGGGCAGGGCGGCTCCGCCTCCGCCATGGCCGCCGCCCGCCGCCGGGGCGATTAAGTGGCTGCGGCGGTGCGGATTTCGGCTCTGTCTCCGGCAGCTCGGGCCGCGGCTCCGAGGCGCATGGGTCTTGTCCGGGGCGGGCCCCAATGCGTCCGGGCCATGGCGCGCCTGGGCGCTGTGCGCTCGCACTACTGCGCGCTGCTGCTGGCTGCGGCGCTCGCCGTCAGTGCCTTCTACTACCTCGGCTCTGGCCGGGAAACCTTCTCCAGCGCCACCAAGAGGCTGAAGGAGGCCCGCGCCGGGTCCCCCGCCGCGCCGTCGCCGCCCGCGCTGGAGCTGGCGCGGGGCTCCGTGGCGCCGGCCCCCGGCGCGAAGGCCAAGAGCCTGGAGGGTGGCGGGGCCGGGCCGGTGGACTACCACCTGCTGATGATGTTCACCAAGGCTGAACACAACGCGGCGCTGCAGGCCAAGGCCCGCGTGGCGCTCCGCTCCCTTCTGCGCCTCGCCAAGTTCGAGGCACACGAGGTGCTTAACCTGCACTTCGTGAGCGAGGAGGCCAGCCGCGAGGTGGCCAAGGCTGTGCTACGCGAACTGCTGCCGCCTGCCGCGGGCTTCAAGTGCAAGGTGAGCTGGGGGGGCGGCACAGCTGGACACTCCTGCCGGGCGGTCCGCGTCTTCCCGGGTCTGGGGCGGGCCCAGGGGCCAGTTCAAGGTCCAGCATCCGGGAGGAGGTTGTCGTTGTGCTGCACACTGCCACCGACTGTGGAAGCCTGACCCCTCATACTTCCCACCTCCCAGCCCGAAAGGGGCCTCCCCAGCACGCTGGAGGCATCTTCCGGGTGTGTGTCTGGAAGCCAGAGGCACTCGGCAGGTGCAGGTGGGCAGCTGCGTGTTAACGGATTACCTAGACCGCTCTGTAAGTGCTGCTCCTCAAGAATAGGCACGCCCCCTCTCTGCTTGTGCGGTAGTATTCAGCGGTGCCTTTCGAGGGGACACCGCTTTTTCTGCTCAGTCTGACTTTTGAGGTGGAGCAGGTCATTTAAAGGAATCTGTGTTCTTCCTGTGCAGAATCTGCTGGAAAGGTTATTATGGAGGCTACTCGAACTGATGAAGTTGCAGTTTTAGTTCTCATGGGTCTTAAGGTGTTTCAGACGCAACTGCCAAACCTCAGTCCATACAGTCTGAACCATCCCATCCCTTCTCTGTGCGCCTCTTCCTTACCTCCTACCTTTTTAGAGAAGCTGTGGCTTTCTCCAAGGAAAGAAGGGAAAGCTGGAGAAGTCTAGTCATGATCTGGGGAGATAGAGCAGAGCTCAGCCTCGTGCTCCAGGCCGACAGCCTGCTTCCCAGGAAGCTTACCTCTCTCCCCGCATAGTTTCTCTTCACCTCCTGGCTCTGCTTGTCAGGGTTGGGTTCCTGTGCTTATTATCTCAGTCAAATTGCTTGCCTCATTTTGACCTCAGTGGCAAAGAGGGGATCCAAGATCTTATTTTTGGATGGGAGTAGAGAGTGTTCTTGAAGAAGGAGACAGAAATTGGCAGGAGGCGAAGCAGCAAGGCAAGAGTAGTGTGCTCTGTGAGCGACAAAGGGAAGCTGCTGCCAGAATTCTGCAGGGTCACAGGGTCTGCCCCTTGTTGCCAGAATCAAGTCCCATTTTCTGGGGAGGATTGTCCGTGTACGGGTGTGGCCTTCCTCTGCAGCCTCATCACTGCTGTGTGCTGCTTAGATCTTAACTAGAGTGAATACGCCTTTACACAAGCTGAAGTCTTGCCCAGAATGTCCTTCCTTCTGGACTCTTGACCACTCTACTCAGTTTTCATCTCCCCTCAAAATGTCCCCACACTCTGGGGACAGTCTGTGCCCAGTTCTCCTCAAGCTCCAGGACACCTGGATTGTTGACTTCTGATCTGTTGACTTCTGATCGCCTGAAGTCCACCTATGGAGTCCCTGGCCTGATAGCTCCTTTGTTCTGGGCAGGACAGTCCTTGGGTGCTATGATGGAGGGGGCTGGGGGGAGAGTTGGGTGGTGAGAAATGGAGAGCTGTAGAGCCTGTTTCATTTTCCAACTTCCTTTCTATGTGGACTCAGTCTGACAGCCATAATGGGCTCTCAGGGCCTGGAGGCAGCTGCAGGTGACCTGAGGGAATTGACACCATCCCTGCTGACATCAGTCCTAGCAAGGTAGGCAAATAGCTCATTCAATAATTATGTAATAATATCATGATGTAATTAATAATAAGTATCATATATACTCTGTATATGATTATATATAATATCATATAGCTGTGATAAATCTTACTAAGAAGTACTGGTGCTATGAATCAGGAAAGATTTATCAAGGACATAACTTATGCTGAGATCAGAAGGCAGTGTACCAGTTAAAGGTGGGGTTTGGGGGGTTTTGCTCCCAGCAGAGGGGAAAAAGGCATGAGGACCCGGGGAACTCTAGAGGGATGGCTGTGGTCAGATGTGCATTTGTCGGTTCTAACATAAAATTGCTCCTATGACTTTTAAAAAATTTATATGTTTTGAATCTCTTTCCTGCTTGTGACAGAATGTGTTCTTTTTTCCTTTAAATATGTGATCCTAAAGGTTTGTCTCATTTGTGACTTAATTCTTGCTCAGATTGGAAGTACTCCCGAACAGAATATTCTTCCGGCAGGTACCACTTCACACACTTCTCCCCTGCCTGGAGTAAGCCTCTACCCCTACCGCCCCCCACCCCCCTGAACTGCTACCTTGCTTTCAGTCTCAGCATAAATGTTATCTTACTGGTAAATCCTTCCAGAGCCCCAGTGCATCCTCCCCTAGCACCAAATCCATGCACTTAGTGTATTTATCACAGCTGTAATTCTACTCCTTTTGAATAAAATATTTGCCTACCTTGCCAGACTGGAAACGCCTTAAAGTTTAACTCCTTGAAGTACTTGACTTCCCTTAAATGTTTGCCCAGCATTGATTACCATGTTTTGGGGAGTATATTATACTGAGAATTATGTCTTCGGTATTAATTAGAAAGAATGACATTGCAGAAATTCTCACCCCCAATCTAGAAGATACGCTCAAGAGTCTGTAGACAGTAGGTGAGGAGACTTGTCCAGGGCCACATGGGAGTGGCTGGTCCTGCTGGAGCTGCACCCACGTCCAGTCCAGGCCAGCCGAGGCTCACTTCCCACGAAGTGGCTCTTCCCTCCTGTGAGGTGAGGCCGAGAAGACAGGTCACTCCCTCCCAGGGAGAGTTGCTATGAAGTATATTACTGACAGAATACCTTGGGACAGCCAGGGGGCTCTCCTCCCTCGGGTGGGTTCTGTGTCCGCGCCAGGCTTGCCAGATGCTGGGTGGGCTGCTGTGAGTGCCATGTAGTCCTGTTCACACCCACAGGACTTTCCACACCATTTTCAGGTGACACAATAGCACTTGTAACTGAGAAGGTTATAGCAGTAAATGGAATGTTTTCAGTGACTTTATATTTTGGTGAAGTTATTATGCTAAAATACCATTCACTTCACTTGAAAAATCTTGTTTTATTATGGAAAGTCTTTCAAAACCCACTGAGAATGTGAGCTCTTGGGAGCCGTGAGAGCAAGCTCTGAACAGAGAACTGTGCATGTGAAGGCTGCTTGTGGCATGTGCTCTGTGAGGTTGAGAAAATAACTATCTTTGTTTTCTTGTTTGCCCATCCCTACTAGAATATAATCTCCATGAGGGCAAGGACATTACTTGCCACCTTTATCTCTTGAGGTCCCCAGGAGCCCCAAATGCTATTCCTGTTCTGGCTTAAGTCAGAAGTGACGGCACAGAGAGCAGGCAGGCTGAGCTGGGTCACAGGAACCAGATTCCTAGAGGGACAGGCAGCCCTGGCTAGTCATGGCCTGTCTACAGGGGTGGATTGGCTCTCCGCAGGTAATTCCAGGGGAGAGAAGAAGGAAGAGAGGAGGGGCCGTGGCAGACATGGCTCCCAGACTCACCCATCGGTCAGGTTCTCCACCTGTCTTAAGAGAAACATTGGTGTGAAGGGTGGGGGAGAGGAGGGTTGGGGTTTGGAACAAGAAGCCAGGAGGGCTGGTCTAGTAGAGCATCCTCCATATCGGAGCCACAGAACAGACCCCAGCAACTTAATTCTTACCGTAGTTCTGGCACCTTCTAGCCTCTTGGTACATATTTATCATTGGTTGGTTAAACCCAAGAAATTGAGTTCTCAGTGACCTGCCTCTCTCCATCAAACCTCAGCCTTGTGGGACTGAGCTGCTCAGTCTCCAGATGGCAGGTTAAGAATTAGATGGAGGCCAGGTGCATCCCAGCTTAAAAGGCACGGCTAGGTTCCAGGAGCTTCGCTGCCACTGAGGACAGGAGCAACTGCACTCGCGTTAAAGCTGAGCACGTCAGGGCATTTCCAGTTTCTTTTACAGCAAGAACAAAACTATGAGTGGCTTTGAAATAGGTGAACCTCCGTTCATAATTGGGGCTCGAAAGAAGCCTGAGTGTAAAGATCTCCTCCAGCTGTCTGACCCGTGAAGCGCTTGACAAACAGCTGACTTCGCCAGCTTGTTCCAGCAGCAGGCACCTCACACCAGAGTCAAATTTTTGAAACAAGACTGGGGAAGAGGTGATCATAGAAATGCGTCCTGAAATGAGAGGCTCTTTGAAAAGCTAGACTGATGTTTTATACTACATAACTGAGAGCACAGTGGCATTTTACTATATATTCTTAGCCGTGGAACTCCAAAATTATGCTCATCAAACACTGTAATAGTTAATGTTTGAGTGTGCATTTCTCATGGATCTGTAGGGTAGCTATCCAGTAAACTGGGTAATTTCACAGGTATGTGCTGAAGTTATAAGGCAAAGCCCCTAACATAGGCCCCAGAGATGATCATGTAGATGAAATATACTCTTATGTGGGTGATGTGTACGTAGTCTGGGGCCTTGCAGTACAGATGAGTGTGCCAGCTTCAGATATATGTAATTCTGAACAATTCCCTGGCTGTTCTTTGTTCCCATAGGCCATGATAAAATGACAGTAGTATTAGTTTTGCACTTAACAAGGATCAGATATATAATTCATGTATCATAAGATTCACCACTTTAAAAATAGACAGTTCAGTGACTTCTAAATATATTTACAGGATTGTTCAATTGTGACCATTAATACTATAACATTTCATCACACCCCCCCCCAAAAAAGAAAAAAAAACCCATACCCATTGCCATCATTTCCCACTCCCTGTTCCTCAGCTCTGGATACCATTAACTTGCTTTCTGTCTCTGTACTTACCTCCTCCAAACAGTTTCATAAATGGACTCAGTACTCCGGCTTTTTGTGTATGGCTTCTTTCCTTTAGCATCATGTCTTTAAGGTTCACACCACAGCATGTGTCAGTAATCCCTGTCCCTCCCCCTTTTATGGGCAATAATGTTTCATTGTATGAACAGTTTTGTTTATCCACTCATTAATTGATGGCCATTTGTGTTCCACTTTTAAGTTGTTATCAATAAACCTCTGAACATCTGTTTACAAATTCTGGTGTGGATATATTTTCAGATCTAGGGGCGGAGTGGCCAGGTCATACAGCTGCTAACTTTTGCAGGAACTAGAATAATGTTTTCTATTATTCTAGTACAT